GACTTGTCTTCGTGGTGAAAGTTGACATCAAAGTTAATAAAAAATTACGATTTTTGTAACCAAATTTTTTTTTATATTTTTAACTTAATAATGCTCTAACTTTTTCAAAAATGAACATATCAATATAATTTTTTTTTATTATATATTATATATATATTATATATTTTTTTGTAAATCTGACACTTAACCTGCCCACAAGAGGGGATTTAAAATGACAACTTTTTCACAAAAAATTAACTTTTTCAATTTGACTTTTGAAAATGTTACGGAAAGTCTGACACTTTTATATATATCTTAAATTAAAGCTAATGTAATATACTTTAATTTAAAAAAAAAATTTGACCTCTGGACTTGTCTTCACGGCGAAAATGGCTAATGAATGCTATTTTCGTGTGAAAATTCTCGATTTTATTATTTATATTATATTTAACTNGTGTGAAAATTTTCGATTTTATTATTTATATTACATTTAACTTTATAATGCTATAACTTATTGAAAAGTTTATGGATCCACACAATTTTTTTATGAGAAATAATATTTTTTAATAAACCCTTTTTCATTCGACATACTTTATCTTAATCGAGATATTAATAAGGAACTAGCAGATCAAGTAGCTTTTGGAATAAAACACCAATTTTTTAAAATTAAACACTATCTAAAGCTTTGCATCGAAGCGTTTATTTTTGATAGTGATTTTAATCACTATCAGATATCATTATACTTGATCCAACTATGCCACGTCACCACTGTGCCGCGACTCCCCTGTGCTGGGTTTTTCATTTTACGGTTACTCTTTATCATGTAGTACATTAGACACAATGTTATAAATGCATATGTGTGAATATGTGAGTTTATTTATTTATAGTATCATTTAAGTGTAGCGTATATTAAGATACAACCAATAGAGTAGGTAATTGATTTGACACTATATTGTTTAAACCCAACTAAACGCTAAATTGTACATTCCCTTCTTCCTTCAACATTCATTTCTATAACTGTTCTTACAACTTCCGATTCTTCTCTCCTCATAACATGACTAAACAATCTAAGTATATTTTCTGTCATCTTATCCACGATTGACGCAACACCTTTACTTCCTCTTATATGCTCGTTCCTTATCATATTTTCTCTAGTCACTCCACTCATCCAACTAAGCATTCTCATCTCTGCTACACATATTCTCTGCTCTACTTTCTTATCAACCGCCCAACACTATGAACCATACATCATAGCTGGCCTCACAATTTCATACTGAATTTAAAAACTATAATTAGTACTTATTCGTATAATATATTTTAAAATCAAAGAACTATTAATCAGGATATAATTAAAGAAATAAGAGTTGATGTTACTTTTGGAATAATCCACCAATTTCTCTACATGAAACACTATCTACAAATTTGCATCGAAGCGTTTCTTATGATAGTGATTTTAATCACTGTCAGATATCATCTATACTTGTCCCATCTATGCCTTGTCCACACTGTGCCTCGACCCCACTGTGCTACCGTTTTTTTATTCAATTTTCTGTTAATGATGAAATGCTAATAAATTTCTGAAGTCGTGTTCTTTGTCAAAATCAATTTGTTTAAAATAGACTAAAAAAATAGTGTTGAAAAAACGCCGTTAATCTTGCGTAGATAATTTCGTTTTATAAACACCATAACAAGTAATATTCTTAGTTATATTGATGTTCGCGTAAAAATAATATTTATGAACATATTTTTATATTATTATACAAACATATTTATTTTGCTGTAGATAAGTGTAAGTATTTTGATGCGATAACTTTATAACATTTATTTTTTGATAAATTTGTATAAAATTATGATTCTTCAAAATAGTAGATAAAAAAAATATATATCTTATCAATTTAAAGAATTCATTAAGTTTAATGTTTAATGAATAATAATTCGTAAATTGATGAAAATTAA